ACAAACCATAATTTTCCAAAATATGCAACCTAGGTTAAGGTTTGCACTTTAAAGCAGGATCACAACTAGCAGCTTGATGCTTTATATTTTAATATTGGTGGCAAATAATACTAAAAATGGCTTACTTTATGCACTCACAACTACAGTAAGCATATAAAGCAATTTTAAGACATGAAAAAACTAAAAAAATCATTATTAAATGTAATGAAAAACTGTACCAAAAAATCTTTCTAGTGACAGAAAGTTGCAATAGCTAATCGTTTACGTTAGTGGCTTGTAAAGAAAGGCTATAAGAGTCTGTGGTTTCAGTCTCAATGTGAAAAATCAATTTATAATCTGAGAAGTAGAACAAGAAAAAGACTAAGAGACCACAACTATTAATGGAATGCTCCTGACTTAATAATCTGTGTTTGTTTTGTCAGATTACCAGTAAAATATAAATATTCCCCAGAATATCATCACGTTACAATTAGCTTAATGATCCCCCAATGTGTGAAAATATAATTGCTAAATCTGGAAGTGCTAGAGAACTTGAAATAATACAATAAGTTTCTTCAGATCTCTTTAAATATATTGTTCAAAAATCACTGAAATTATGCCATTGCTTTATTAAGCAGTTTAATTATTTTTCAAAAATAAGGTCAGTTGGGATTCTTCAGCTATGGATCTCTGTCTATGCAGAAAGAGGGGAACAAATTAATGACATTCTATTTATACTGAACTATCTAACAGGCGTATAAAGAAAATCTTCTCTCTCTACAGCCCATTGGTAATTCTCCTTATCTTTCCTGATGTACCCTATTGAATATAAACTTGTCATCATGAATAGAATGAAAATGTCAAAAGCAAAATGGAACCCTTTCCTTTGATAGGCTAACAATGCAACCAAGCTCAGATACAAATCTTTTCAAAATATCGGGAGGTTGGTTACAGTTGACAAATCACATACGTAGATTCCTATCACTTACAGGCAATAAATTGGGCCATAGCATATAAGCTTGTTTTATACAGCAATCTCTCAGCTCTAGCAAAAATAGTATGCATGGATCCATTCCACCCAGCTTTTCTGAAATAAACACTTCTAATATCTGGCATTAAAAATATTTCTAATATCTTTTTGCCAAATCACACTCCACATGGGACTATCCAAATTTCACTGCATGAAAATTTTCTTGTGGCCTAGTTTTTTAAAAAGCTCATCTAAAAACATTTCATTAAAAGTCAAAATTAAAAATAAACTTCAGTGTAAATGCCATTATATTTGAAGGGAAGGGAGTAAAGGTAATCTAATTTACTATATGTCTGCCTGAAGTGAGAAATTAGAATTAAGTTACCAACTTGTTACTGTTGGCATCTGACCCATGCAGGCATATATAATGGCTTCTATCCATGTTCAAAAGAAAAATTTCGACACCTTCATAATTTTACTACCTCTAAAACGAATTATTCTAAAACAGAATGAAACATCAGTGATACTCTTAAAGCAAATATCTATGATCTGTTGGTCATGGAAAGACCATGCATTGTTCAATAATGTGAAAATCCAAACACTGCAGGGAAAAGTCACATCTGCACTTCTGGACACAATCGATCAACATGTATCGATATTGCATAGATTTATTTTTTTTAAAAAAAAAACCTCAATCCCAACTGAGATTGATTCAAAGTTTTCACAGGTACTAATTTCACCTTTAACATATTGCACACTTCATAAAATAGTATGCAATAAGCTTCACAAAATAAAATGGAAGATGATGGATGCACTATGGATCGCTATCCAAGATGACCATTCTTTTTGCGCAGTTATCTAAAAAGGTTTTTATTTTCATTGTCAGAGCATCAAAATATATACCATTGCTCTAATATGATTGGTTTCAAGTTTCCTATCAAACCAAAAAACTGTTGAATATTCCTCAACTACAGTAAAGGCGGATTTCTCAGTAATATACCATAAAAGGGCATGACAACTATGGGGTGGAGAGAGACATTAAACTGGGGCTAATCTGGTCCCTGCTCAGATGACTACAGGCATCAAGCATTAAACTAATCCCCATAACTTTATCATTTGTTCTGCCTCTTTACAATAGTGATAGAATGGCTTTTACTAAGAAGGCAGTGGCATATCCCAGGGTTGAATTATATAACTGAAAACAGATTTTGGAACTATGTATAGGTGACGTATAATTGTAACTATTTTATTTTTTAGCTCTTATGATAGTCCTTATTAGGAGAAATGTTGAAGAAACATTTCCCAGGTTCCCTACTCTGAATTGCCCTCCTCTAGCTGCTTATATTCTACCTGGATGGATGGAGATGGATGGGTTTACACACACATACATACATGCATGTATACATACACACATAAACACACACACACACACACACACACACACACACATATATATATATATATATATATATATATATATATATATATATATATGAACACAATGTGCATGTAGTACATATAGTATATAGTACATACACATACACGCACACATACATATATTCTATGCACACCCAAACACAGAGCGCAAGGAAAAAACCCCACAGGAACTCAATGAGAATTAAAACATATTCAGCAGATTCAGAAAACCAGCTAACTTTTGGTAAAAGGGATTGGAAGTGGGGAAGAGATGTTTAAATAGAGTACGGAAAGAGGGGGGGGGGAGACTGGCTGGCATTTTACTCCAGCATTTGGTTGGAAGGAGCATAAATATTTACTAATTCCAAATGACTCCTTCCAGAATTCCTCTCAGTTCCATGTTTTAGGAATCTAAGATTAGGACTCTCCTTATCTTCTTTCTGCAAAGCTATTATACTAATTTCTTAGGATTCTTCCTTTTTTGCATTCTAGATAATGCCTCACTTAGGAACTAGAATCTTTCCTATGGTTCTTTACTATCTTGATGAGATTCCTAGCAGTATCTTCTAAAAGTCATCATGCTGGCTTTTTATAACATAGTCTTGCAGCCACAAGAATAACCAATAGCTGGGCTAAAATGGTGGGAACCCTCAGATATTGTTGAGCAAAATTACAAGAGTTGCAATGAACAAGTTTAATCTATGGCAATTAAAAGAGCAAAGAGCAGTTTCTTATGCATGGGACTTTTCTCAGGAAACTAATGCACATCTCTAGGGAGTACAGGCTAAACTGATGGCATTACATAAAGCAAAGCAGTATGTAACCAAGCTGTACTTGGCTATTTCTTTCCCTAGGAAAAACAAACAAGTTCAGAACTCAAAGCAGCTTGGAAGAAACAATATGGAATAGCCAAGAGATAAAGGGAAACAAATTACTTTTCCATCTTTAAACTTTTTACTGGTGGGAAAAAAAACATAATTCCAGTCAGGAGTAGAAGCCAGGGCATCCCAACAAGACTCCACAGCTGGAAAGGATCAAGCTGATCAAGTACTTCCAAGATCTCTGTTGGAAAGGGATGTACCATCCCAACAAGACTCCACAGCTGGAAAGGATCAAGCTGATCAAGTACTTCCAAGATCTCTGTTGGAAAGGGATGTACCAATAAATGAAAGGATTAGCTGTCAAGACTGGAGAGAAAGGGAAAATGAGCAGAAACCAGCAATTATGGGATAAAGAATGAAGTTGGGTAGAGAAAATTCTTAAGTTACCTTTGATAAGAAGTGTGAGAAACTGGAACAAGCCCTTTGACCAAAGAAGTGAAATAAACTTTGGAAACAGGAAAAGAAGGACTATGTTCTATTGGAAGATGATTCATGGGAAGTAAACATCTAAGCCATGTTCTCTCAGTGTTCTCATAAGAACACTACAGCATGGTAAGAAAATAAACACAAACGTCTGAGTCAGATTATATGTGTCACAGCAGAATCAGAGAACGGAATGTTGGAATACCGTTCACAGGCAGTTGTGAGTCTTGCAAATAGCAAAGGAGGACCAAGGAAAAGCTCTGTAGATTGCTTTTCATTACCTAGATTTCTCTGGAAAACTTCTGTGCAGAATAGAAGCTTGGGGGGGGGGGAGCCTATGAAACAGTAATACTCCTGTGCCACAAGTATTCATTAAAAAAAAAAAAACTCTGTCTGAATTTATAGGATTTCTTTTCTTTCTGTTCTTTTTCTGTAGGGCTTGTGTGGGAGATTTCTCAAGCGAACAATTCCACTAGGATGGTAGGGGAGCAATAGAAGAACCAAATATTTTGGAATAAGTACAGAAGCAGAATTGCATTCCTCGCCTTGTGTGTCTTCTGGAGGGACTTAATGCTGCAAATTAAAAGGTGTCAGTTAAAGGTGACATTTATTCCCTCTTTTTTTTCCTCCCATAAGGAACTCCGTGTGCAGTTAGAGAGAAACAAAGAAAATGCAACAGAAAAGAGGAGGTTATTGGGGGGAGGGGGAGGCAGCCTTTGGAAAATTCCGTTAAGAAACCAAGAGGCTTAAATGAGCAGGGAATCCTCCGAAATGACTCTAAATTCTGAATGAAGCCGCTTAGAAGGGTCTGGAAATTCCTGCTGTTTCCGACCACTTTGGTGGGAATCTGTAGAAAGAGTAATGCCCAAACATCTGGAACCAAAGGAAGTCCCTTCAACTGATTCGGGAGGGTCGGCAGCGGTGCAGGGGGGGGCGAAGGGAGCGGGTAAGGCGACACCTGCGCCAGGGACAACCTGTGGCCGCGCTTTGAAAGTCCGCATCGCGAAAAGAGTGGGCGAAGAGAGGGGGGGGCGGGGTGCTACGGAATTTCGACGGCGGGTCGAGCGCTCCTCTTCCGCAGCGATGCCCAGGTTGGAAGATTCCGACGGCGCCAGAGCTTCTTCGACCCGCGTGTCCAGCGCCCAGCGCCCAAAACAGCCCCGCCGGGTGGAGAGGTCCGACCTCCCTTTCCTCCTGCATCAGCCTCCTCTTCCTGATGGGCGCGTAGGCATCCCGCCAACCGCTTCGCCTACCTGCCTGCCTGCCTTGCCTGCCTACCTGGCTGGCTGGCCCCGCACAGCGATCGCGGCGGCCCGAAAAGGCGCATTTACCGTGGGGGCGGCGAGGCGGCTGATGCTCTCGCCCAGGGAGTCGAGGTTGACCCGCCTTCTGCGAGGAACCCTCCGGGAGCCCGCGGGGACCGGGCCAGGGGGACCCGCCGCTGCCGCCGCCAAAGCCTCCGGCGGCGCAGGAGGAGCGGTAGCCCCCGGAGTGGTAGCCCCGGACTGGGCAGCGGGGCTCCGGCTGCCGTTCCAGAGAAGCCTGGCCACGGGGCACTCGCCCTCCTCCTCCGGGCTGGTCTCCAGGTAGTCCGAGCCGAGCGAGCTGAAGGATTCCGAGGAGATCTTTCGCCGGGACATGCTGGCGGGGAGGAAGCATCAGCCGGAGACGGGCTTCAGAGAGCGGCGAGGGTGTCCCGCCGGGCGACGGAGCCTGCTGGGCTGCTCATGGTCCAGGGCGCATCGGAGCGCTTTCTTTTTCCCTCGCCCGGAGGCTCCGCACGCGCTGCCTTCGCGCCACCGCCCGGCCGAGAGCATTTAAAGGCGACGCCTCCGTCCGCTGCCCTCCTTCTGCCCGGCGCTGCCTCCCTTTCTTCCCTCCTCCGGCCCTGCTGCTGCCGCCGCCGCCGCCGCCTGCCTCTCCGGGTCGCTCGCCCCGCCTCCCCGCGCCTCCACGGGCGTCACGTGCTCGCCGCGGGAAGGTGCGCCTCGCCTGTCGCCAAATTTAAAAGAGAAGCGTCGGGCCGCGCAGCGCGGTCTGTGTCGCTCCTCCGGCTCCCGCGGCCTGGCTTGGCCAAGAACTGGGCTGCGCAGCAGGGCGAAGCCGAGGTGATGCTCTGCGCTCGGGGGTGGGGCAGGCAAAGAGTCAGCTGCAAGCTAGTTCACGCGTTGAGCGCCCGGGAGGCTTCAACCTCAAGCGAGGCTTTTGCATGTCTGAATGGTCCAACACGTAACGGCGGCGGCGCTGCTTCTGATTCTGCTTAGCTTTTCAAGATCAGCCCAAAGGAAGTAGGCTTTGCCCTCTGTGGTGCTGTAATTAAGGGTTCTTCTATCCCACTTGCCCCACACAATGTATGTATGTGTGTGTGTGTGTGTGTATACATACACCATATATATACATACACCATAAAGTTGTCTTGCAGGTATTGTGTAAAGGTCTGAACATTCTGGCTGAACATTCTGTCTCCAGGAATGCCAGCTTTTTAAGAAGACGTACAATATTTGTTCTGTGTTTTATCTAACACTTCTTATGATTGTGTATCTGGAAATGGGGCTTTATTATAGAAGAACCACCCCTTTATCTGTTGTCAGAAAAGATCTGGAAGCTAGCTGATTTGGGATCATCGAGATACAGTTTATAGAATGTATATCTTTCAAATGCTAATCAACACAAACTGCGTTTGAATTTGGACTTTCCACAGTGGTTTACAGGAAGATGCTAATCATAGAGTTGGAAGCAGCCAACTGCCCCTCCCACTTGCTACGGTACTTGAAGATGTCTGACAGCTTCTATTTAAAAACTTTAAGGAAATGAATACTCATTATTTCCTGTGCAGCCTGCAGTTCCTCCTAATCTGTAACCCGAATCTCTTTCTTATCATTTTAATCCACTTGTTATAGTCCTGCCCTCTTGTGCAATATAAATTTACAACTCCTGTATGTTTTTCTTCATCCATATTGTCAAACAGCAAAGTCATGTTTACTCAAGCATAGTTTGCTCAGTCCTGCTTGAGTTCTAGAATACATATAATCACAAAGTAAACACACTGTCTAAGCCACGTTTGCACAATATTGGGACTTACAGTAAATTAGCTCTGACTAGGCTGAGATCTTTCTCTATCAACTACTATCCAATTTTTCCTCTTCACATGCAGTCTGCATTTGAATGATGTTCTTTCAAATCATTTCACATTTGGCATGCTTGATAGTCCCATTAAGTCACACAAGTAAGCTGTCACACTATCAGGAAAAAAAATCAATTTGGGCAATGGAGTTAGTTCACACACGTTGCTAAATGCTACAGGAGTGAAGATATATACAATCATGCAAAGGATCCATGGAACATGGAAAATGGAGTAAAAAAGTGATTTTCTGTCATAGGCCTGAAATTTGAAGACATCCCTTGAAAGAGACATGAACGATTTAGAAAATATGGTGTCCCAAAATGATCACATCTCAGATAGCTTTAAAAGAGACCAAAACAAATTAATGGAAGTCAACTCTATCCATGGCTACTAACAGAGCTGATAGTCAGATGCAGCCGTCAGATCAAAGACAAAATGATCCCGACTCATAGCTGTTGGAGATGAACCACAGAAGCACCTGGTTGACCCCTTTGATATCACATCAAATATCTGATCCAGGATCATCTTGCATTCTTGTTCATCCCTTAAAAGCAGAGATATCCATAAGATAAAATCAAGATGGCAGCCAAGTATACACGTGTGATCTCTGTTCCTCAGAGGCAGCCCATTCACCAACTTCTGCAACTATCTTCTCAAAGAATGCCAGTGGGGTTTAGCCACATAGCTCATACAAAGTGATAATCAAATAATCAATTTCACAGGAGGCTGCACTGCTAATGGCTGCAGACATTTGCTTACTATTTATAGTGAAATAATGTCAGTTAATTAGCAGAGCAAGAATACTGCCATGACTAAGAAACTGAATGTTGAACCATAAATCTCCCCGTTCACTGCATGCCTTCTCCACAGGCCCACTTGATAGTTTTAAGCAAGCTGCAGCCTCTGTGCCTCAGTGCTCTCCCTTTCATCCCCTGATCACATCTGCAAAGCACAACTAACTCAAATGACTTATTTTGCAAGCTTGTATGTAAGGATTTCTGCTGTAGAATGTTGCAAGCACTAATCCAATATAGACTATACCAGGGGTAGGCATGGCTGGCTCAGGAATTCTGGGAGTTGTAGTCCACGAATCATAAAAGAGTCAAGGTTGCCTACCCCTGGACTATACTAACTTTGCTGACCTTCTGGGAAGCCATGAAGATCTGAGTATTTCCCAGGAATAGGTGCAGAATGGTTATGGCCCTTTAATGGAGGGTTGGTTCATGGGCCATCCCTGACCTGGATCTTTTTAATTGATTGTGAAATGGGCTCTGTTTTTAACATGTTTGCCACCCAGAATGCCTTCAAGAGATGGGCATCCATATAAATATGCCAAATATATAAATTAAATGTAAGCATCACCACAAATGGAAACTGGTGAGGAAAATATAGTGTACATTCATCTCCAGGTTACACTTGTGTAGTGTTTGGAGCAGCCACACTTCTCTTTATAACATTCTACTCCAGTTTGCTTTCTTTTCCTTACACTCAATATTCCATCGTTGATATACAAGGAATCCTTTGATTGATTCACTTTTTAAGGGGGAGACCTCTCTTAGACTTTGCTTGTTTGGCAATTTGACTCCAATTCTTGGGCCCAGAATTTAATACAACAGTTACAGTCATCCTAACTGGGCATGTGCAAAGCAGAGGTGCCTTGTTTTGGCATGATGCATTGCAACACCAAAATAATATATTCTGCCTTGAGGAAAGAGCAAGACCACTATGCTCTTCCTTTAGAGCACAGAGTGGGATGACCGACCTTCTCCTCTTCTCTATGGTAGAAAAGTGGATCACTACGGCCACTCTATGATTTAAAAGCTTCTCTCCATCAATTTGCTTCAAAGGGCTGCTTTGAACCAATCTTTCCCGAACCAAAGTCCTCCTCTAAACTCTGTGCACCATAATAATAGCTGATAAAAGTGCCAGAAATGTTCAAAACTGCTCTCTGAGAATAAATAAGCCAGGCTGCCTTTATCCATAGGCTTTTTCTCTCATTATCATGATGTAGGGAGGAAGAAGTGAAATGAAACAAGCTTATTATTAAACCAATAAGCTATGGCATTAATCCATCATAGGTGGAGGGGGGATTTATTTAAAGAAGGTCATGTATTTAACCATAGAGCTATTCAGGCACTCTTTAACTAAACAATGTTGGACAGCTCCTTTTTATTTACTTTTGGAAAGCAAGACCAACCTGTTTTTCTACTTCCTCCACTTCTATAGAAATAATTTCCTCTTCCTAAATAGCAACCTTGCAAGTTTTTGCTATTTAAGTAAGATGTCATTGCTAAATGTCACTTAGAAATCCGAAACGTATCTAAAAACAACAACTTTAAAACAAACCGCCAAAACCAACCTCTCATTTACAATTAAAACATGTGTTGTAAGTGTCAGAGGAACTAACTGCTCTCAGTATATATACGCATGCCTTCCTCAGGGATGAGTTACTATAGGAAAGTGGGAGGGGTGGTGTGAACGGAAAGGGCCATAAGCAGACAGTGTGGCAGAAATATTACGTTCAAGAACAGAAAAGCTAGGTTATGCTTTGAAGAAAGATGACACTTTTAAAAACAATGAAAGGCAAGCTTTCCAAAACTTCAAACCTCTTTTTTCAACTGCACCCACGCCTTCCTTTTCAAACTGCTTGACAGTTCATGGAAGCCGTGCTAACAACAAAATCACATATTCCATCAAAGCCCCCACAGGCCTAAAAACGCCTTTGGCTAATATAATGTTTTAATTAGTGTTGCCAGAGGAAGATAGGGGAAGAGGTGGCGGGTGGAGAAGACGAAGCATTTTGTTTATGGCAGGAATAAAAATAAAGTCTTGAAAGCCTTCTTTGCATCATTTTGGGAAGATGCTCAGTTAAAAAAAAAAATACATCAGCATGGGCAGAAAATAAGGAGTAGGGGGAATAATTTGCCGAAGAAACTGCCATTTTTAAATGTTCTTTTCCCAGAAGATCCCAGAAGCTCACAGCAAAGTAAAGCTGTACAACATTACAAAATAATTAAAATAAGCAATTAAACATGCAGCATTAAAATAATGAAAGCAGCTGCTAGAATGAAATGTTTCTAAACACAACTTGCTATAAATCAAGGCATGGATTAAGATGCCTGGGAGAATATAAACATCTCACCTACTACTGAAAAGTCAACACATTTGGCACCAGAACAAGCTCTTTGGGGAAAGGAATTCCAAAAACGAAGAACCGCCACCACAAAGTTCTGCTCCTAACTTAGGACTTTACAATAGGGCACCTCTTGGAAAAGGTTTCCTCTCATATTGCATTTCCACCTACTTATTTTCCATACTGGGACAGAAAATCACTTCAGACAATAGCCCAAGGTCCTATTGGCAAGGAATTCTGGGAGTTGAAGTTCTGGATATAGGCATCAGGTTCAGGAAAGCTGCTCTACTCGATGTGTCTGCAGTAGTCCCTGGGCATCACAGGGAAAAATCTGTTAGTGGATTTCTCAGTTACTGGATGCTCTTGGAGTCATATCTGAAGCA